AAAGTTACATGGTTTCATGAGTTTCATGTTTCAAAATCGATTACAATATAATGATAAAAGAGTTTGTCTGACGCTGTAGCGTTCCATCCTCAAAAGCTGGTAGTTACCTGTTTTTATTGATTACCTGAGAATACAAGTAATTTTGAAAGAGTGTCAACAATTAAGTTGGTGAGTGCACAAGCTTTTGTATATAGGGTTGAAAACCTTTCTTTGTAAATGTAGTGTATGTTCAAGAAAAATCCAATATTTTCCTTATAAAATGAGTTGTAGTCATAAGACTCAAAGACCGAAATGTACAAGTATTTACCATACTTATGATAGTATATGCAGTTTTAAATAAATAAAACCCTTTTGAATGTAAGAATCCCCGTAAACTATATGTGTCGTTGTTTCCCTATATGAGTTATTATAGCCGTACAATTGACATAGTAAGCCTGTTACGACGTACTTCGGGCGTCGAAATGTTTTGACATTTGTCACCCCAGACCTGTCGGTCTAGCTGTTGCAAGCAACTAAGGTGCGGGATTGTCAGTCCTAATATAGATCTATATACAAGTATCACGCTCTCCCTACAAGATATTATAGTTATAATATAGGACTTTAACCGGTACTCTAAAGAATACAATGAAGTAGTGTCTCACAAATTTGATCCAACGAGTTTACGTCTAGTGTAAATGAAAACCCTTTTTGAAGTATGAATGGAACCTTCCTTAGTATGTTCGTAGTGTTAATTTGCCATAAACTATACCTATTATAGTTTATCACATATGTTTGTAGTGAATGAAAACCCTTTTTGTAGTGTAAATGGAACCTTTCATAGTGAGATTATAGTGTAACGAATCAAAAACTATACCTATTATAATTTATCATAAATATTTGTAGTGAATGAAAATCCTTATGATGAATGACTATTTTTGTTTCATGACATTAAACTAACATGAAATACATTCAACACGTAGTATATTATTGCTATACACTTTGCTCAACATGTTACAAAGTGTTAATAAACTTGTAAACTGTTTTTACTAGTTTTATCCTTTGTGTCACTGTTTTTAGAAAAATCACAGTAAGTCGAAAACTGAATCTGTAAACTCTGAGAGTATAGGAGATGTGTCTAGTTTGTTCATAATTTTTATTATGATTTTTAGTAGTCTCTAACCAGTGTGAAAATGTCCATCTTCATAGACTGGTCCGAATTCATTTATGAAATGATAGGCAGTTTTGTAAAAATCGCCATAAATTGTAGAAAAATTATATGAACGTGTGTAAGTAGTCATTAGAAAGGTATAAACCTGAACTATTTGCATATTGAACTGTTTTGAAAAATATTAAGTTTAAGATGGTCAAAACAGTTCGTAAATAGCCCATAACGTTTCTGTCGAAAGCTGTTGGTTGAGTTAGAATGTATTTTAGTGTTAGAACTTGTATTCTCCCCCTTAAAATTGAAGAAAACATGGAAAGATAGGGGTATGAAGTCACCTTGAGTGATTCCCTGAGGTGGAAGGTTGAAGAAGAGGGGTTTTCAAGCCAAGAACACTTGAAGGATGCGTGAAGATTTGAAGATTCTAGGATCAAATATGTCGATATTTGTGTAAATGATCCATGATTTGTATGGAGAAGTGTAGAATATTTAGAAGTAAGATGAAGCACTTACCAAGAATGGAGGAAAAAATAAAGACCTCCTAGGGATTTTTGAGTTCCAGAGAGAAGAAGAGAGAGAGAGAGAGAGAGAGAGAGAGGGATAGAAAGTTTGTCTTTGGATGAAGGCAAATGAGATTTTGGAAATGTGAAGAATAAAGAATTTCTTGAGTGGATTTGATTAAGAAAATCTGGTGGATTGTTGGGAAGAGTAGAAAAAGGACAATGATTTGACTAGGTAGAGTGTGAATAGTGACATAAAGTAGGTGTGGGGATGGCTTGGTGTCATAACTTTATGGAAAAGTCAACAAGCCTTTATGTGTTATCTTGAACAAGAGATATGATCTATAGATAATATTTTCCCTAAAATAGGAATAAAATATGAGTCTAGGGGGTCTAATATGTCAAAAATACGAATTGGGTGAAAATCCCACGTCAAAATCATCAAAATCGGGCTTAAAATGCGAAAGTGGTCAAAAACCGGAAAGAAAATGCGAGGCTGCGAAGGGAAGAGGCTGAATGCGAGAGGGTTCGCAGGGGAGGGCTCAGTGCGAAGGTGATGCTCGCAGCGAAGGTTGCTGCTCGGATGCAAAGACGACCGGAGATGCGAACCTTCCCGGTTTGATGCGGAAGTCTTTGGTTCATGCTATGCGAAGCGAGGTTCGGAATGAGAGTGTCCGGCTGCGAGTCTTGTCAAGTAGCAATGCGAAAGTGCCCGACCGAGCACGAAAGTACCCGACCATATGCGAAGATGCTCGGTTTTGCTTGAGAGAGAGAGAGAGAGAGAGGGAGAGAGAGTCAGATGTGAAATCTCCCGGCTAGAAACGAACATTGACTAGGAAGCGAGCATGGCTTAAGAGGCTCGCGAGGGCCTGAGAGGGTTCGCAGGTGAACAGTAACTTGCGAACCTCCAGGTCTCTTTTTGACTTCTTTCTTCCGTTTTGAGCCGTTCTCGACCAAGGGAAGGTTCGGGATGATCTGGATGTTCATATAAAGGTTGGAAAATGTGATTTTTATTACCAAGAGGTTTGCGGGAGATTGGGAGAGATTTTGAGAGAGATTTGGGAGAGATAGAGATAGAGTGGGAGAGATTGAGAGAGATTTCGTTTGTAGGCTTTGTTAGTGTTTGGCCCCGTAATGCAAAGTTTGTAAACCCCATTATGCGTCGTTATGAGTGTTCTACGCCCACGAGGGGGTACATAATAGTGCTTTATAGAGTCGTTACATCACTCATCATGGTTAGGGTTTAGAATTTCCGAACATTTGAAACTTTTGAGTGACACTTTGTATTATGATAGAGAGTTGTACATTAGTAAACATAGAATAAACCCTATCATACAAGCACTAATTGAGTTTATCGGTTTGACCCGTTAACTTTGTCTGACTTTGACTTGACTAGAAATTGACGGTTGTCACACTTCACGTCATTGTTATTCTCCAATTTTCAAAGCTTAATGGTTGGAGGTGTATAATTATTTTCTTATTAAGCTTTATTTTATAATAATAAAAATAATGCTTATACAACTTTTTTATGAGTGGTAATACCTACTTTTAAGTTTTAAAGTTGTTTATTAACACTGATATTGATGAAATCACTGTTCAAGAAAATTTAATTATTTTTATCATGATATTTGTGTATAAAAAAGTTTGATTTATAAATACTTTTACAATTTTATTATTTATATCAATTTTTATATATTATTAGGTATATCACCCTTACTTCCCCATTTTAATATATAATTGTTTTATTCGATGTACTTATTTCTCTTATATTACAATATAGTTTAAATTTCATATAATGTCCTTTCCAAGAATATTTCTATTTTTTAAAACTATATTCATAATTTTATTGCATTATACAAAATCATAATTTTCTAACATATTTACAAATACAAATTCTCGAACGGATATTTAAACCATTATGATTTTGTAGTTTCAACCTATCATTATATCATTATCAAATTATAGAAAAAACATTTATATTTATAAATTATCTAATTTTTTTTATTGCTATTGGTCAATAATTTACTTATAGTTTAATTAAAATTAATTTTATCTTTTTCATCTATAATGTCAACAGGTTATAAGTTATAACCTAGTATTATATGAAATGATCCTAACAAGGTTCTAAATGGTGTAAGGCGTGGTGTGGCGGCAAGACCAAACCTCAGGCTTAACGAATAATGGCGAATCATGATGTTTTTTAAGGCGCGATGTAAGACGATGATTTTTTCTTAATTTGTAATTATATTACTACATAAATATAAATTTATATTAAATATAACTATTTTTTAAAAGTGATATATCAATAACTAATAACAAAATGTTAACAAAAACACAATACTTGTATCTCCGATTAAAAAAGATATAGTAACAAGCAAAAAATTGAGTTTTAAACGAAAAACATGTGTCATAACATGCCATAACGCGCCACGCCATGACACGTTATATCACGCTTAACCGCAATGTTATTAGTCTTTTCGTAACTCACTAAATAAACTACTAGAGTAACGACTAAACTGGTAACCCACTAATGAAATCAATTGGATCAGCCCAACAGCCCATTGATATAAATTAACTACAAATACCTAATTGCCATACCTTTTTGCCGTTTTGGGTCTTTGGAGGCAGCGGTCAAGATTAAAGAAAAGAATCAAACGATACAGCGGTCTCTGCAAATCGTTGAATATTAGATCGATGTTAAATATCTCCGATTCTTTTTTTTTTTTTTTTTTTTTTTTTTAAATTGCAAATCACCAATCGTTGGGAAAGGGTTTATGAGATTTTTCTGCTTTCTTCTTTCTGCCATTCCACCATGTTTTCTGCTTTACCACTTTATGTTCCCAGGTTCCTTATCTTCTGCTTTTTGAATCATTTAGTATTCGTATTTGGAATGGTGTTCTCTTAGCTACAGGCCGGATGGATGTGTTTAGCTTCTTCAATACACATACATTCTAATTTGGGGTCATCATATCTACCGGGTGTCATTGTAGGTGCACCTTCGGGGAGGTGCTTAATGCACAATTGAAGCTTTTTGACATTCAACATTATATATAAACCACAATTTTTCCAAGAAAGCCAGAGAAAAACAAAGATACGATCCTAAGAAACTTGAAATCCACAAGACTTTATGCTAATAACACTAATGAGATTAGTAACACTAATAACTAATGATAGGTAAATTCTGGATATGCTAAATCCTAAGAAGCCTCCGTAATAGATACACACTTGTTATATAATAGTTACTACGAAAGATTCATTAGAACTTGAAGAAGCTGGGTGAATCCTGGCTGAATTACCATTGGGTATCTGACTCTTTGATAATGCATGCAACTTATCAACATACCCCATCGACTCAATGTCTAAGTTGGGAAGTTGGCGCTTTTAAGCATTTTCAGGATCTTTTTGGATCTACCAAGAAGCTGAGCTGCAATTCGAATGCTGTCTTCCCTTTTCTCTATTGCATCATCATGACACTTCATGGTTATGACACGTGGTACGTTGGTAAAGCAAGCACATAGCAGATCTGCGATTATGGTTGATATAAACTCAAAAAGTTCCTCATCTATTGGCCAATTTTCTTGCTCATTGCAGTGAAGTAGTATGGTTTGGCTGATCCTGTACATTGAACTCGCAGCAATGAAGTTACAAAGTGAATGATCCAGACTTCCGTCTTTGCTTCTCTTGAACTGTATCACAATTTTTGCTGCTTCATCACCCAACCATTGAAGAATTTTCTGTGATGTTTCTCCTTTACGAGCCATCTTTTGAAGATCAATTTGTAGCCACTTGCAGTATACTTCAACATCTGTCCACACACGTCTAGTTGCTTTTCTTGCCTTGAGCAACTGATCATCATTTGCATTGAGGCATTGTTCAATATGTTTTACAAATTCAAGGCTTTCCCTTACTTACACCAGCCAGTAACCCCTTGACATGGCTGTTTGCAATTTCAGGAAGTGCAAGGGAAATGGCAGTTAATGTTACTGCAACTAGGCTCCAGCAATTTGGGATCTTTTCTCTATGTAAAGGTGGGACTTGGTCATTATCGAACTCTAATACTCCATAGAATCCTGTAGATTTGTTGAGAAGCATCATAAGATTACTTGGCTCTTTCTCTTCAGACTCATGAAGAAGTCGAGTTATAGAGTTGAGCGTATTTCTTAATATTCTCCTTGAAGGCTTTGCGTCGGTTTCAGTTTGTAGGACATAACCAGTATATTCTTCCATATCTGATATCTCATTGCTATTAGATGCATTTGGTTCTTCCTTAAACCTTTTCATCAATGACTTGCAGAAACAGCAACAACAAGAGAATAAGATCAGAAAAGATATGGGAATGAAACATATCGTTTTACATATAACCACAACCATTATCTAAAGCACTAATACTCCACATCGTTTTACATAGCTTGTCCACATGGTTTCCGAAACTTGCACTCTCTGCTAAATATATATATGTGAAATGACGAAAATATCATAATAAGAATAGGTAAAAACACCAAATTATCCCTCTTTTTTTGTCTTTTTTATATTTTCAAAAAAAACCTAAGAGGCATCTAGCCCATCGAGATCACCTTCACAGCTTCACCTTCATTCTCTCTTCTCTTCTGGCAACTGGAATCCATCATAAAACATTGTATCAAACCAGAGTAATATCATAATAATCATATCAGCCGAAGTCTCAAAACAAATCCATCTTTGCTTCTCTTGAACTGTATCCCGATTTTTGCCGCTTCATCACCCAACCATTCAAGAATCTTCTGTGATTTTTCACCTTTACGAGCCTTCTTTTGAAGATAAATTTGTAGCCACGTGCAATATACTTCAACATACGATCCACACATGTCTAGCTGCTTTTCTTGCGTTTACCAAATCACCATTTGTATTGAGGCTTTCTTCGATATGTCTTACAAATTGGAGACCTCCAGCAATTCTGTATTTCCATATCTGATACAACAAGAGAATAAGATCAGAAAAGATATGGGAATGAAACATATCGTTTTACATATAACCACAACCATTATCTGAAGCGCTATACAAAAGTTCAAAATCATGTTCTTCAAGTAATAAAAAATCTTTTTGCAACGGTGGCATGGGATATTTGAAGGGACATGGCTGCGTTTCCATATTTGAAGTGTTTGGATCCAATGTTTCTCAACTATATACACATTTAGATGGTTCTTGCTCCATTTCTTGGAGAGGCTGAAATGACTGGTGTGGCAGTCAAACATCTAAATATTGGTGCTATACTACCTATTATTGCCCCAATTAATTGCACAATAACCATTAATATGATTGACCACTTATAGTCTGTGCCTCCATATAAAAACCCTGGTATAAAACGACCTATGAATATCAAATTCATAAACGTAATGGAAGCAAGAAAGTGTTGGATTAATCGGTTTGTATATCCAAACAAGAAGTTTTAGTTTCAAGGGCAAAATAGGACAATAGTTTTTATTTATTTATTGGCTGCACGTTTTTAGTCTATTTATATTTCTAATTGGATTAGTATAAGGAGTTTATTTTTGTTTAGTATAAATAGGTTAATTCTCGTTGTAAGTATTCCAACTCTTTTTGTTTGCTTAATAAAAGGCGTTCGTTCTTTTTCTTTCTTTTATTCCTTTGTGGTTTTCTTTTTTTGTTGTTACCTTGGTGAACAAGACTAAGGTTTTACGGCAGCCCCTTGTTTACACTTGGTATCAGAGCGGTTTCGTTAAAGGGGGTGTGATTCGAGGTTAACTACAATCAACCCCGATTTCCTTTAATCGGGCTTGTGAGAGACTAACCGGAGGCGCGTAATAAACGGACGGGAAGACGTCAAAGCGGGTGGCTTTGAATCGGTTCGTTTTGCGGGTTACGGAAGACGGTAAAGATGGTTGTGACCTTGTCTTGTTGTCCGGTGGAAGAGTGCTCTCGGACCAAGCTTGATTAAAGAAGTCGGGGTTAAGGAGAAAAGGATGTCGTTGGTTAAAGAAGAAGGTTCGTTGACATATCAAGTTCCAGTTTTGACTCCAACGAATTATCCGGTGTGGGCGGTCAAAGTCAAGTCGATTGTGGATGCACACGGCAAATGGGAGACGGTCGAACCAAAGGCGTTAGGTGAAGCATCGGATCAAAAGAAGTCAAAACAAGCTCTTGCCTTTTTGTTTCAAGCGATACCCGAAGACATGGTGTTGCAAATGGCGAGTTACACCGAACCAAAGAAAGCATGGGATGGGCTAAAAACACGGTATTTGGGAGTGAATCGGGTGAGAACGGCTCGACTTGCAACCTTAAAAAGGGAGCTTGAAAGTTTACGCATGAAGGAGGGTGAAACGGTTGATGATTTTGTGACGAAATTATCCGGTTTAGCTTCAAAAGTAAGGAGTCTTGGATATGAGCTTAAAGAAGGTGATTTGGTAAAAAGGTTACTAGATTCGATGTCTAAGTCGTTTCTTCAAATCGTGGCTTCAATAGAGCAATGTTTTGAGTTGGATGCGATGTTATTCGATGAAGCGGTTGGTAGATTAAAGGCGTACGAGGAGCGTATAAGAGGAACCGAGAAAGTGGAGGACACTCAAGGTGGGTTATCGTTGGCTAGTGAGGAAAAATCACATGTTTGTAAGCATTGTGGCAATGGACGTTCAAATCGGGATGACTTTGGACGTGACCGGGGAAGAGGTCGGGGGTCCGGGAGAAGTCGAGATGGTAATGAACGTGTCCGGGATAAAAGTCACATTAGATGTTACAAGTGCGGTGAGCTTGGTCACTATAAAAACGAGTGTCCTAAATGGGAAAAAGAAGAGGCGGGTCTAATCGAAACTACAAGAAACATAGCCTTTAGCGGCGACAGGGAGCTTTAGCGGCGACAAATTAAAAATTCGCCGCTAAAGGCATATGTCGCCGCTAAAGGCTGAATGACACCGATCCGCTCTTTTGACGTTCTGGCAAACACGAATCGTCCGATCGTGGTTCTAATCCAACGGCTAGGGTGCTCGTGGAAGGCATAAAGGAAATACCGGCGACTTTTGTCGCCGCTGAAGATCCAAAAAAGTCGCCGCTAAAGATAAAAAAATGACGCGGTAATAATTCCCTCCTGATAGTCGCCGCTATTGATAGTTGTCGCCGCTAAAGACCAATTTGTCTCCGGTAAAGGTGTCGTCGCTAAAGGCCGACGCAGTTAACCCCAAAAAACTCGATCTTTTTCCTTTTGCTCTTTCTGTTTCACTTCCTTCGCCTCTTTCTCTTCTCTCGTCTGCAACTTACTTCGTCGATTATTGTGGGATACTAGTGAGAATTATCAATTTTGGGTGTGTGAAATTGTCCACAAAGAAGATACCACCGGTGGAGAAAGATTTTCCGGTGACGACCAAGCTTTTCCGGCGACACCAAGCTATTTTCAGGTCAATTTTCGGTCCCTTTTCTCTTGTAACATCGATTTTAAGCTTATTGGAGTGGTTAATTGTAAAAAATTGTCAATTTCAGTTTTGTTGATTGTGTTACTACGCTCCCGACCACCACCCGCGACAACCGCCACCACTGGACCATTTTCATTGATTTCCGCCACCACAGGTTCTATTTACTTCTATTTATTGTGAAATTTTAGTTTAATTGCAAAATATGTGTAGTTGTCTCAATTATTTGAAAATTGTCATATGTATGTATATTTGATATTTGTATGTGAATCTATATAAATTTGGTGTATATATGTCAATGTATGTGTGTTTGATGTATATGTGGTATATGAGTATTTGGTAGAAGTATGCTGTTATTATGTGAAATTATGTGTAGTTGGTCTAAATACCATCTCTTTGATTTGATTTGTTTATTTCATTTAATTAAAAAAAGTAGTTTTGTTCCTATCTATCTTTCTATTGTCATGATAAATGTTCAAATTAAAAAATAAAATTAATAAATTATCTATATTATTATTTATAAGTAACAGAAAAAATATATATATATTTAATTTTTCTTTAATTAAATCAATAATATGGTAAAAGGTTACTAAGTTTTTCAATATATTAGTTTTGTTCCTATCCATCTTTCTATTGTGTTGTTCATTCTTGCATAATATTTCAAACTATCGATATGAAAATTTGGAAAGTAAAAGGCATTAAGGCAATAAATTCAAATCTAAAGTTTTGGTATAAGTAGGATGTTATAATTGGAAAAAAATAAAAAAATAAATTATTGTTATGATTGAAAAAAAAAACAAAAAAAAAATGTTATAAAATTGGTTAAAAACTTATATACAAATACTAGAAAGTTTTAGTTTAAATAGAAATGTTTATTCTTATGTAAATGTTTATTTCTATCTAATGTGAATTTGTAATAAAAATTGTATCTGTATATCTTATAATTTTTCAGGAAATGTTGTCAATTTGGCTTTTGTTTGTGTATATCATGGCTGCTGTTATGGGCCGTGGACATGGGGGTGATGGAGCTGAGGACCCACCTTTCCTAGGTGGTAGAGGTGCTGGTCATCATGAGCAGGACCGTAAGTTTTATTATGAATTTTTATTTACTATTTTTATTCAGTTATTATAAATTAAATACAATTTCTAATAATTTTTAAGTACATTTGTAGTTGAGCAACGTGCATGTACGAAAGTCCGAGGCAAAGCCAAAAATATAAAGCTTGAAAGAGCGATATTACAGAATAAGGGCAAACCGATTACCATGGAGTATGATAGAGATATAACATATGATCCCGTAGGAGAGCCGAAAGACATGTTTTCACGAGAAATTGGAAAAACAACGTGACATATGGTCCCTTTTGATAAATGGACTTGGAAAAAAGTTTCCCCTGCAATAAAGGACGCTGTAATATAACATTTAGGAGTAATTATTTATTTAAAAATATTTTATATGGTTAATTATGACTGGTTTTTACTTGGTTAACTTTTTTTTGTAGACAAAGTTTGATTTGGATCAGATGTACCAGGATGTACAAGCTAATATGTTGACAGAGAGTTTTCAAGCAGCTTTGTTAAAAGGTTATCGAGAACGGAAAGCTGACGCAAAAGAATATTTTTTGATAGTCGGAGGGTATGATGATATCCCGAGAGCATTAGCCAACCCTCCAGAGGGTATGGATGCTGATAACTGGAAGAAAGTTGTTGAGTATTTCCAAACGGACGAACACAGAATTGCTTCAGAAAGGAACAAAAAAATCCGTCAAATGCAAACGAACGTGAATCGTGGGGGGTCGAGCTTGTATAGCAGTACTTGCTATAAGAAGGTAACGTACGATACATGTAATTGTTTATTTAAAATATAATCTAATTTCTAATGTTAAA